AATATGCTGACTCTCTGTAAACCGCTTAGAGAGGCTTGGAAGCCCTATGAAGCGGTATATAAGTCCACTGCTATTGCTATTGCTATTTCGCCCGCCTGTGCTCACAGCAGAGCTCAGGTGGGCTGCTGCAAGCACAGACAGCGAAAGAAAGTGCTTTAGTCAGTGGGGTGTCAGGGGAAAGGACTGCCTCACCAGCCATAAACCTCACCGCACGTCACTGGAACCCAGGCACTGCAAAATAAAAATAAAAAAACAGAGAGGCATTGCCGTGTGAACCACATACCATTTAGGTAACTACATTGCAATGGTGTCCTAACTTTGGATAAACTTTAATATCATTATAGCATTTTAAATGTACACCAACTTTATTTTGATTAATGTGTTACCATCAAAGATGTCATAGAATAATGGCATGGCCTGGATAAAAATAAAGGGCTAGCTGCAAAAAAAGTGTTAAAAGGTGCCAATATTCACAGTCCGCATGCTACTCCTACTATCGCAGTTTGTAGTAAACAGCTTTACAGTCACATGACCCATCTAGCATATGAGGCTTTACCACAAGTGTTCTTTTATTCAGAGACACAAATATCTCAGCATGGAATCTAATTTTTTTTCACTTCCCCAACTTATGGATTAGCTTTCTTTTTAACCATCAAATGCAGTGTCTAATTAGACTTGACAGCAGGTGATCTGTAATCAAATACATCGCCACGTTTTAAAAAACTAATGAAAGCTGGGAGGGGGAGTGACTGCAATTGGAACAGGAGAGTGGGAGTGTGGCATTTCCCTTGGTGTTTTATAACAATTTTAGCCTGTTCATTAAAAGCAATTTCAATTTCATCTGCGTTGCTTCTATTTGTCAAAGGGTCATCTGGGTTTGTGTTGTTTTTTATGGGCAAGAGGAGAACCTAAATCATTTAAAGATTAGGTCTACTGATTATACTGAAAAACATGGCATAGCAATTTACTGTGGTTTCCCTTTCTCTTCTGAAGAATATTACCATAACTAATACAGTTACTAATAATGATAACAACAGAATTTGCTGCAAGCCAAATATATTGGATTCCAGTCTTATCTTAACATTTTAAATTAATCACCAAGAGTTTCTGAGCTGCAGACATATCTATTTTCCCAATATAAGATTTTGCTCTTTAGAATTTAGATTGTTTAATGTTTCAATAATAATTGCACCTTTTTGTAGCATGCTAGAAACAGAAATAAATACTTTTGTCAACTATCTGTTAGTATATTGACACAGCCAACAAAGAAGAGTGCCTTTATTAGAAATCTCGGACCAAGATAAGGCAAATTGGTGCCTTCTCCAGATTTGTTAGAATAGAATGCCCATCCAATATTTCCTTTAATTTAGTAATGAAATATAAAGTATCATTACTTCTATTCTTTTATATTTCCTGCTTGGCACTGTATCATAACCAAATTGAAAGGGATTTCATAAAGTTGTGAAGTTCAAGCTCAAAAACATAAAAAAACATTATGTCAGTCTGTCAAGAATTTAATAGAAATACCATATCAATGGTATTTGCAAGTAATTACAAATGGAAGCATTTTGAGGAAGTGATAGAAACTTAGCACATCTATTTGTATCTTTTCAGTCAATAGTTTTTTTCAGTAAGTACTTTTTAATCTATATTTTCATAGAAGATAGTTTGAGGTACAGTAGCTTCTATGTAGAGTTTGGTGGCGCAGTGGTTAAATGCAGCACTGCAGGCTACTGCTAGATCAGCAGTTCAGCGGTTCAAATCTCACCGGCTCAGGGTTGACTCAGCCTTCCATCCTTCCGAGGTGGGTAAAATGAGGACCCAGATTGTTGGGGGCAATATGCTGACACTCTGTAAACCGCTTAGAGAGGGCTGAAAGCCCTATGAAGCGGTATATAAGTCTACTGCTATTGCTATTGCTATTGCTATTGGTAGAGTTTGGATGCTGCCAAGGCTTATCTATGCTGGATTGCTGCCAAAGCTTGTCTGTGCCGGTTTGCTGCCAAGGACCTGTCTGTCTGTTAATTAAATGCCGTAACTTATCTTTGGCTTGGAGTGTGTGTTGGTGTGGGGCGAGGGGGGTCAGAACAGTTTAGCATGTGCATGTATCAAGTTATAGTTCATGGGGATGCTCCAATGGTCCTAAGAATGAAAAACTACTAACAACTGAGTATCTGTTCAGATTTTAAAGTTCTTGGCTCTTTTTAGCCACCCAAATACCAGTAAACATTAACTATATTTTATTAAAAAGCTGCTTTTTCTGGTTACTGGTTGAGTGGTTATAAGCATCGTTTTCCCCTTCCAGCTGCTGAGTTATTTTTCTCCTCTTTCACAAGGGTCTATTTATATTTCTCACATCACAAAGTCGGCAAAGGATGCTGCCTTTATCCAGGCAGTCTTGTTTTATGACTAGCAATAATAACCCAGTCGTTCAGCTGTCATAAAGACATTGGAAGTAATGAGACCAAGCAGAGATTTAAATAGATTATAATGGATATTTGGCACATTTCCTGGGTATTTTGTTCTAAAATGCTTTGTTTTCCTGCATTGCTTCCCTGGGAACAGAGTATATTACTTATGTAGTAAATGAGAAGAATGCAGTGTCCTGACTGTGCGACAGGGCTGGCTGATTTCTAAGACCAAATGCAGGTGGATTGCAGGAATCCATCTAGAAATCATCAGCCTTGGAGGAAAAAAAAGAAAGAGTAAGTAGGAGAAATCGCTATTGCAGAAGAAAATCAAGGAAGGTGAGCAAATGGGAATTAGCAAACCAAACTTGATTAATGACTTTAATTCTAGATATAGAAACATTGGTGAAGGAGGTAATACACAGTCTGAAGAAAGGTTCCCTAATTTGCTCATTAGGGAACTGATAAATGAACAAAAATAAAGATTAGTCACTGACTTGGAAAAAGACAAACGTGTTTGAAGTCAAGATCAGATCTTTCTAGATTTGATGATGATGATGATGATGATGATGATGATGATGATGATGATGATGATGATGATGATGATGGTGATGATATCTGCAACACTGTCAAATATCCAGATTTGCCTATCCCAGGTCCTTGGTAAGGACTCAATAGGTAGATAAAAAATCCAAACCAGTTGGAACTTCTGTCTCTGCAGTAATTAATAACAATAACAACAACTGTTCAAGTCCTAACCAAAGATCTAAGAGATGTTAAGGTAACATCTGAGTATATAGACATTATTATTGCTGTTGTTGTTTCAATGCAGGCAGCCTTATTTTTGTGATGTTCTAGACACTCAGCTATTCTTTGTTTCAATTCTTTTACTTCTTTAGTTAGAAGGCTTTGTGGCTCCTGAGATAGAGGAGAGGGTGGCTGGTTTCCAAATGAAAACAATTGTATATTTCCGTTGAATTCCTGTACTGCCAACTCCCCCTGGTTTGCAATAACATATATTTCCACCATGCAGTTACTGGAATTAAGTTGTTATTGGAAAAAGATGTAGTAAGTAATAACTACACTGTTGAAGAAGTAAATAAGATGACTAATGACTAAATTCAAGCTTTCAGGCTCAGAAGAGGGTGATGCTAGCTAGGCATTGAAAGCTGTTTTGTTCTCCATGATGGGGAATGGGAGGTGCTACCATCGGGCTGTTATCAATCCTGATTGGTCCATAGACTCAGAGAAAAGTGTTGCAGGCATGCCTCTACTCCTTTGCCCAGTTTGCTCACAGTCTATCGTCCAATTAGGCTGGTAATTCATTTTTCTCTCTTAGGAGAAAGAGAGAAAATCTTAGGATTTTCAAAAAAAAAACTATTTTTACTCAGATTAGACTTTAAACTCAATTCTGAATTCGGCCTTTCTAAAATCTAAAATTTACCTTCACTATCTAAAATCTAAAATCTACCTAAATTAGCATGAGGAGCGAGGAGGGGGAGTTTAACACATTCCCCTCAGGGGCACCGGATTGCTGGTCCAAAGTATGGATCTGCTTGCCCACGGCGGAGACAATTGGCTTTAAGCAGTGTCCATCTGGTGAGGAAATCTTATTTTTTATAAAAGACTGTCCAAAAAAGATTGAAGTTAAATTTAACTGGTAAAAAAAAAAAGGAAATAAGCGGCAAAATTAAGCATTATTGGACAGTGTGTTATCTTTTTTCTTATTTTATTTTTTTTATGGATGGAAGTTTTGTAAAGATTTTTTACTTTTTAAAGTGAAACTATTCGATTTTCTTCCTCTATTTCTTTTTTTTAACC